AAAACTTGAAACAATATGAGAGCCCACTAATCAAAACAATATTGTTCGTTCTTAATGCATGATACCCACATCTAACAGATAAAACCAGAAAATTAATATTATTTAGAAGAATAAATGAATAATAAATAATAATACGAATTTTTTATTTAAAAGAAATTAAAATTAAAATTCTCAACTTATAATATAATACTATAAATTTAAAATAAATTTTATAAAATTTGAATTAAAAAAAAATTCCCTGGGTGTGTTCCCTACTTCCCTTCCCCTGAATTGATGCATACTCACGCCGCAAGGGAGAGCGACGGAAGCAGACCACTATTGTTGGTCATCTTCTAAACTCTCTCTCTCTCTCTCTCTCTCTCTCTCTCTCTCTCACACATATTCCTCTTTTGCATCTCTAAATACAGTAGTGAGTGTTTGGGTTTTATTTTCTTCATTGGTCCGTCATTCTCATTGATGGTAAGGCTTTCGTTGCAAATCCTTGTCCTCCTCGAATGGTTGCTGATTCCCTTCTTCCGACCATATCAATTTGGGATTTTTATTCAATTTATGGTTAATGGATTGCTACTGATTTCGATTTGGCAGCAAATTCGTCGTCATAGGTGTCTTGCATTCGCTCCCAGCACACCTCCATCCCCTTTCACAGTGTCTAAATTCTGAATAGAGCAGAGTAATAAGGTGTCCCATGTTTGCTATACCATTTTTGCCGCCATCTCGATGAAATTTAGGAGTTTGAATAGAAGACCTTGGACGAAATCCAGAGATGCGAGAAGAAATACAGGAACTGACTATATATGTGGGCGTAAGAGCGACTCCATTTACGGCGTGGGAAGCGGACGACCCTCTTTTTCTTCACATCCCAATCTTCGAGTGTTTCAGTTTCCAAGATAGCCATTGCCCATTACCATGGTCTTGTTCAGAGAAGATCTGACCCGAGGCCTTTGGAGGATAAAGAGTTCATCAGAAGAGCCGAAGCTTGGTTTGTTAAGATTGTGTGTACTGTTTTGTCCGTTCAAACTCATTGGATAGGTTTTGGGCTACTTGGTAAGTTCTTGACTCCTTCACTCGCTTTTGAGGTTATTAAGAGGCTAAAGAATCCAAAGTTGGGTTTGAGATTCTTTGCGTTAAGTAGGGAAAGATTGAATATTACTCATTCCCGCTTGACCTATAACTTGCTTTTGAGTTCTCTCTGTCGAGATGGTCTCTACGATTCTATAAAATGGTGTATGACTGTATGAAGTTGGAAGGACACTTACCTGAGAGTTGGCTATTAGGGTCTTTGGTGTCCTCTTACGCACTAGCAGACAGGTTTAATGTTTCGAAGGAATTGCTTGACGATTTTAAGTCCAGTAAGTTTGAAATAAGTGCTGTTGTTTATAATGATTTGTTCAACGTCTTGGTAAAACAGAAAAAAGTAGACGATGCCATCATCTTATTTAGGGAGCATGTGGGATCACATTTTCGTCCAGAAACATGCACCTTCAATATTTTAATGCGAGGTCTGTGCACAGCAGGAGAAACTGATGAAGCCATAAAGTTGCTCAATGACATGAGCAATTGTGGTTGTTCCCCTGATATAGTTACATTTAACACTCTTATACATGGTTTTTGTAGAATTAATGAGGTCGGTAGAGCAAAGAGTCTACTAAAACAAGTTTATTTAAAAGGTCAGTTTGCCCCTGATGTTGTTAGTTACACAACAATAATATCTGGTTATAGCAAGTTGACTAAGATGGAAGAGGCTGCTAGCCTTTATGATGAAATGATTAGATCTGGAGTTAAACCTAATGAAGTCACTTTTAATGCTCTTATTGATGGCTTTGGCAAGGCTGGTGACATGAAATCTGCACTATCCATGCATGAAATGATGCTCTTTCATGGCTTTGCTCCTGATGTTGTCACTTATACTTCCCTGATTGATGGATACTGTCGAATTGGACAGGTGAAACATGGCTTAGACTTATGGCATGAAATGAATGCCAAAAATATCCTCCCAAATTTATACACTTTCTCTGTTCTTATCAGTGCTTTGTGCAAGAACAACAGATTGCATGAAGCTCGTGAATTTTTAAGATTATTGAAGCAGAGGGATGTTGTTCCAAAACCATTCATTTATAATCCTGTCATTGATGGATATTGCAAATCTGGGAATGTTGATGAAGCTAATGCAATTGTAGCAGAAATGGAGCAGAAAAGGTGCAAACATGATAAGGCGACGTTTACTATTCTCATTATTGGGCATTGTATGAAAGGAAGAATGCTTGAAGCAATTGATATCTTTCATAAGATGTTGGCAGTTGGTTGTGCTCCTGATGATATCACTGTAAATTCTTTGAGATCCTGTCTTTTGAAGGCTGGAATGCCTGGGGAGGCTGCCCACATTAAGCAAACTCTTGTTGAGAACCAGACATCTAAATCATTGAAAATGTCTTACCATCCACTGACAAATGCAGATATGCCAATTGTAAGAGGTCTTTAACTATGCCTTTTATAAACATGAAAAGTCCAAGTTCCATTTCAAGCTCACATGGAAGACATATTCAAATAATTGTTCTTTGTTTTCTTATGCTTATTCTCTGATTTTTCACACGAAAATTATCCCTTTGAATCCTTCATATTTGAAGCTCCGTTCCTCAAACTTCATTATCTTCTTATTTTGGCAATATTGTGCTTTTACAAGTAATGGAGACTATCAAATATCAAGTAAGACACTGAGTCACAGAGGAAAAAAGAATGAACAGATGAACTCCTATGTAGTTAGAAACCATGCCATTTCCGCATACAACATGTCGCAATACCATATATCTCTTCAGCCATTTAAATATGACAATCACAATCCATGTTGCTTTATTCTTGTGCATTTAGAATCTATATGCACTTTCATGTACCAAAGCTTGAAATAGCATATCTATATCGCAGAAGAAAAGGTTTCATGTATTGATCCTCCCACTGTTACACTTGCATGTCTATTAACCATTTTAATCCTTGACAATATGCATATTACTTTTAGCAACCACAACGCATGTTTGTGAGCAAGTACAATTCTGATGTCAATGAAACTTTGTTCAGTGCTTTTACAGTGTTTTTATTAATTGTTATTTTAACTGTCATCCATTGTCAATAGCCACACACAAATGGAAGGGTGATTTTCAATTCTCTTTATAAGTAGTCGGCTAAAAATTCCAAATTTTAATGAGTTCAGAATTTGCATATAATATGGTATGCCAGTATTATAATTTCTTGTTTTCACAGGAGATTTTTGGTTTTAAAGGCTAATAGTAAACGATAAAATGGTTTTGATCTTGATTTTAGCTAATGCTTTTTATCCAAGATGATGGCAGATGCAAAGTTTATGCATGATGAAAAATTTTCCAGTGAAACCTAAAAATTGTCAATTTCTTTTCTGTATCTAGCGATTGTATTTCCCCTGCAGCTTGTTTGAGATCTCTGATGTTTTGATCTTTTGATTGGTAAGGCCCTTCATGGATCAAGGTTCCAATTGGATGAGTCATACAAGTTAGGAGATTTATAGCTGCATGGCTGCCGAGCAATTTGTTTCCATGATACGTCAAAAACTTTGATTTTTAGCACCCTTTTGACCTCAGATTTTATTGTTGCGCAGCTGGGATTCATTTCTTCCAAGTGAAGAAAAAGAAAGAATTGGATGAAAAGTAATCCAATTTGACTAATACCCTCGGGCATGTAATGAATCTACTCATTTTTACAAGGAACAATGCTACCTCTACATGATAATACCTCCTACTGCCAGTTGACCGAACAAAGTTTAAAGGAAACAGCATAGCACGTAGCAAGTAAACCTCTTAACTCTATAATTCGATTAAATATAAAAGTTGAAGGACACTGAACTATTCACATGCCTTGAATAGTTTGATTTCCTCTTGAGCTCTGCTTTGTTGTTTTTTTGTCCTTCTCTTTATATGTAAATTGGAGTCTCAAAATTCAGATTTTATCTTATCTCAGATCACATCCAGAGTTGCTGCAACGGGTGTAAGAAGAAGCATTCAATTGAAAAGGAAACAAATCAAGAGGGAGATATATGAGAAATGAAAGAAAGAAACAGCACCATCGAGATTAGAGAGAACAGGAGGCATCACAATGGCCTATGAACACAAGGAACCTCTATTGTTCTTCTATCAAGTAGATCCATGGGATTGTATAGGTATATCCTTTTTTATTTATTTTTTTTCTTCCATTCTTGAATTATTTGAGCTGATTGGGTTTGTGTCCATCTGAGTTTCATTCTTGAGCTCATCTTTGTCACTCTGGCGAGCTGATTCCAATACAAATTAGACTGCTATGACATTCAGGCTCTTTTTGCTGACATTTGTTACCCTTCAATGATGTCTTTGCTTGATCTCTTGCCTGGAACCTTTCAGAGTCTTGGGTATTTGGGGATGATTCTTGTCCTGTAATTTAGTATTGTTTTTAAGTAATACCCATGTGATGATCATACTAAAATGATTCGAAGGTTATCTGAAAAAAGTTCCAAAATTTTCTTCCATATTGAAGTTCTGGTGTTTGTACTTGAAAATAATATAATCCAGGACAAGAAAATTTAATGGTACTACTATGATTAATCTATAAGTCACTAGACATGGTCACATGGTACTATAGAATTTTCTTATAGTGAAAAGGCAAAAGTGGCTTGTGAGCATTATTGTTCTAGGACAGTGTTCTGTTATCCTTTACATAATGCTTATGGAGCTGGTGATATGTGGTCATTTTCTAAATGTTGGTTTGACTTGCTTCAATAGATTTTTGTGAAGATAAACTTTGGCTTGATAGCATGGGATGCAAGAAACTTAGGCTTTAGAAGCCGTTTGGTAGCCTGAAAATCTACCTAAGGAAAAGGAAGATGGGCTATTTTCCTTCACAATGTCAGTTTGGTAGCCTGAACAAGACTTCCATGAAAAGCATATTTTCCATCACATGAGGGAACCGCTCATCCTTTAGGTAGGCTAGGGAACGCATCTTCCTGTGAAGGAAAATTTGAGAAAGGACCAAAATGGCTGCCTTCTTCATCTTCTTCATTCTGCATACCCCTTGCCTTTTTCATCTTCTTTAGTTTGCCAGATGCTTTCCTTCATTTCATCTTGCTGGTCCGTCGTCCTATTCCTCCTTCATCAGTAACGGCATTGCTCGTTGTCCAATAGATCTACCTAAAGCTAGCGATGGTGTCGTCCTATTCTTCCTGCCCCAATGATGGCAGTCATCTCTCCAGCCTCAACCTTCATCATCTGCTTCTCTTCTTCCCAGGCGACAATGGAATGGGTTGATGAGTGCCCGTCAAAGCTTCATCTGGCTTTTTTTTTGTTTTTGTTTTTTCATTTTTTATTTGTTCATTTGTTTTGAAATGTGGATCTGAACTTTCTTTTGTTGGGAATGTTAATTGTGGCTGTGGATCTGAATTTTTTTTTTAATTTGTGAAGTGTTTATCAGCGACGAGGGAGGGGGCTTTTTTTCCCCATTATGTGAGGGGTGTTTTGGGTATTTTATATTTTATATTTATTTTTCTTTAATTCATCATTTCCCTTTTCTTTCCTTTGCATGCCAAGCAAGCATGCGGCTAGAAATTGTCCCTTCCCTTGCTGTCCCTTTTCTTCCCTTGCTTTCCATCAAAGTACATTCCGTCTACCAAAAGGGCCTTTAAGTAATGTTTGGTACACGGAAAAGTGTTTTCTAGAAAAGAAATAAAAAATGTACATAGAAAGAAAATGGGAAAAGTGCATTTCCCATTTCTTTTTTCTTTCTTTTTTCTTTTTTTGAAAAAGACTTTTCTGCCTATCAAACACTGCATTATTGTTGTTCATTTTCTTTTCATTGCTGAAATTATGACAAGAATTGGATATTTAAGTTTCAAACTTTGCCATACCTTTTTCAACCTTTGGTCATTGAATTCAGGGGGGGGGGGGAATCATAACAAGATAATTTGTTCCTATAATTTCACAAGCTTACAATCTTTTTTAGTTCTTTTTTATTGCTGATTGCTATGTGTCTTTTCTTTTTTGACCTGAGATTTCTATTTTTGTTCCTCTAATTTCACAAGCTTACAGTGTCTCTTATTTCTACATCTTAGAAGAAGAATTAGCATGATTATATATTGTGTTTTTCTTAGGCAGGCATTCCGTTTCTTCTTTGTCGAGGTGTTATCACCTTTTACATGATATGCCCATATATTTTCTAATATATATACAGACAAGTCTTTGAAGTTTAGTTTGTAATCTTCAAATTGTTGTTGACACAATTTGGACTCTACGAGAAGTGGGTATGTGCAGATAAATGATGCACTTGTAAACATTAATAACAATTTGAATCTTAATCGTATGTGCTGTTGTTTCATGTTTTTCAGGGATGCGTACAAGTTTTGAGCTTCTGTTATGTCACTGAATTCCAATGCAACTTTGAACAATCCTAAGTAATGTTGGTGATAAGATCCTCACACAAAGCTTATCTCTTTGAAAGTCTTGCGCAAATAGTTGGAGAGGTCAATTAAATATTAGTGAAAATATCAAAGAAGGATTACAATGCAGAGATTCCAATGCTGGAATTTGGTTATAGATAAATGTTGAAAGGATTCCAGTGCTGTTCTGCTTTATGGTAATATTTTCAATCCAAATTTCTTATATTGACAAAAGTTAATGTATATGAGACATTCAGGAGTAGATTAAAAAAAGGGGAAGAGGATATATTTATTTTAATTTTTGAAGTAGAAATTTGTTATCATCAAAGTGAAATGTCCAGGAAACTTCTTGATGCAACACAAGTAAGCTACATGATTGTTAAGAATTGCTATTCTTTTTCGTCTGTGTAAGATTTGTGTCATGGTGACATGGGTTATGTTGTTAATTGATGGCCTCTCTTTTGTAAGAAATGCATTGTACAGCATCCTGTCCTATCCAATCCATTTGACAATGTTAACTGTTTGTTTTGGATGATTGTTGTCACGTCGAAATTGTTACAACTTACAAGCTTTAAAATGGCATCATAATGATCAAATTGTATGTCCTTCATCCTCGACAATTTGACTGTACATTAAAATGGCCGGTGTTGAACAGCGATTGACCTGTAGCCAGTGAAGCGTTGACCTGCTATTGATTGGTGGTCAACTGATAACTAGTCGGTCAAACAAAAATATTAATAATTTAATATTTACAAGTCAAATTTGTAAAAGCGTTTAGGAGGGGGTAAATTGGGCTTAATAAAATGTTTTGGCAAATAAGACTTAATTAAAGAGTTTAAGATAAAGAATGATATCACCTTAGAATGTAGATGTTGAAGTAGAGAAAAGAGAAAATCGCACAAGAATTTACTTTGATTCAACCAAACCACTTGCTTGTGTCCAATCTCAAGTTTGTCTTTTGTCATTTTTCACTATAATTTTGAAGATTGGTTTGGGATCTTGGATGTCTCAATATTAGCCAAACTAACTATGTAAGTTTGGAACATTTTCTCTTATAAAGGTAATGTATCACCCACTCTAAGTTAAAACATAACTCTAGAGCTTCGAGAATCAAAGTAAGATGAAGAAACTTGGAAGTTTAGGAGGAACTTCAAAGTTTAGACCAAAAGCCTCAAAATATTATTAGCATAGAAACTTTGAAGAATTAGACAATAACTTCAAAGGTTTTAAGAAACTTGGAAGATTGTTAATGAAACACCAATAACATTAGAAACTTTGAAGAATCAAAACAAAAATATGGAAGATTGAAAAAAATGACAAAGACTGAAACTTGCGTGTATGCAAAAAGATTCACATGTGAATGAGAACGAGCCAAAAACTGAAATACGCATGTGAGTTTTGATTGGAGCGTGAATTAATTTTGAATACCAAAAAGCAATCAAGAATTTGACAAAACGAAGAGAGGAATTTTAAGCTATCAAATTTACTTTCTTACCATATTTCTAAGTAAACTAAACCTGTTAAATGTAAAATTTTCTCTAATTTTGCCATAATCAAAACCAAGAAAATATATTTCTACAAAATTTTCATATTTACAAAGTTGATTTATTTACCCATTCAAATCATTTTCAGGGAGGGAAGGAGAGACAAAAAAACAAAAAAAATTCTTAACTTGTATTAGAAACTTGAAGAGCACAATAGTCACACGTCAAATGCTGACAATTCACAAGTAAACCAATCCTTTTCGCTTTTTCTCCAATTTATTAAACAATCATAATTCATAGCACTTAGATAACATACTGAGCAAATTCTATTAATATATAAATGCATAAAAAGGAATAAATACTGAACTATAATCCTGAATTCAGATTAAAGATGTCATTGGCTGTTTAATATTTACAAAGACACTAAATAAGATCAGCAGCGGCTAAGAAAATTCCCCCAAACATCCTATTATTGACTTGTGTAACCCCAAGGAAAAAACAACTAAATAAAGAAAAAAATAAAAGACATGCTAATAACAGAGGAGAATATATTCAAAAGGAGATTGCAAGAAACGCAAGTTCATGCAAACGATTACCCAGATTATAAACTAGATTCAAAACAAACAGAGAAGAACAGATTATCACCCTACTTCATATGAGACTTGAAGAAGCAATTTCATCCTCCTTGCGTTTGCGTTTACGGTCGTCTTGCAGATTATCACCCTCAACCTCCACAGGCACATTTATGAAAGCACAATAATCTTTATCCACTGAAAAATGGCCATCAGTAGCTGGATTCACATGTTCTGCAACATCTATTAAGTTATTCAGCTCTGCAACTGAAAGATTATCATTGGTCTTAAATTGTTCGTCAATGGGAAGTTCATCACTGTTTCCCCCGACATGATGATCCTGAAAGCTCTTTTCTGGAGTGTCAACAAGAGCTTCAAGTAAAGGCTTGGTAACATGATGTTCCTGCGAAATGAATTTTACATCTAAGAGAGATGTTTTGAAATCCACCACAGAGGAGCTGCGGGAAAATCCAAGAATATTCTCTATAATATCTTCATGAGAGGCTTTTTTTGGGACTTTTGTTGCTATGGTGTCTGTATGGTCAGTGCTTACACAAACTTCGCCCTCAGTGGAAGCACTAGAGTCACTATCAGTCTGACATGGCTTAGGAATGTCACTTGTGGATGGCAAACCATCATCTATCTGACCACTGGTATTTCTGCTTTTCTTATCCTCCACAGTATGCTCGAAACTTGTTCCTGCATTATGCTCAGCTAGAACGCCAGCTTCAAGGCCCACCTCTTTCTGGTCATCTTCTGCAGCATTATGTTGGCCATATTCTTCAGCTTCCCTGGCAAACCCTTCCGATGCTTCATCATTAGGATCTCTGTTCACCTTTTCTCCTCTTTCTGGATGAACACTGTGTGAAGTTGACTCTTGTGTGCAATTAATTCTCTTACTGTCTTTGAGATGGGTTGAATCATCATTATTCTCCATCTCATACGAAGTTCTAGGTGAAGCATCATTAGTTTCCTGATCATCTTCATTTATAAATTCAGGGGCTCTGACTACTAGACTTTTGGTATACCTTGGAGTTTCTGAAGATACAGAAGATAAAAATCCTGCTAATGCAGAAGCTACAGCATCATCAATTGACAAATGCTGCCTCTGTTTATCGTTTGAAGTTGCTTCTAATCCCGATGTTATACTTTCTTCTTCATCCTCAGCATCAAGAAACTCAGGAGCTGTAACTAAAAGACCAGGGTGCAATTGAGTGGCATTTGCTGAATCAGACATATCATCAGGAGAGACACATAGTACTTCAATGTGAGAACCGTTCTTGTCAGGTTTTAATCCTCCAGTGACTTTATTACCATGACAATTGCCAAATGAGTTGGCATCTGACTGAATGCAGGAACCATCTGGAGCATAAATTCTAGAGCATGGCGGCAATCCAGAATTATGTAATTTGATGGTCAGTGTTTCAAGTTGCTGCTCTACTTGCTGAAGCCTAGCCTCAATGCTGCTTATGGGCATTAGCATTTTTTCTTGAAAGCCCAAACAGATTGCTTCCATCCTGTCCATTCTAGACACAAGCTGTTCCAGTGCCTTTGCCACATTAACACCCAGAGAGTCACCATGATTTTTTTCTATTGTAGTAGCTTCCGAGGGTAAGTCACAATAATTGCTCTCTATTTTGGCAGCTTTTGAGGGTGTTTCACTCTGATTGTTCTCCATTTTATCGGCTTGGGAGGTTGTCATAAGATTGCTTTCAAAAGGAGCATCTTGCAAGAGCAAGTCTGATTGAGATGGGCCCCCACTATCTTCATTCACCTTTTGCAGCTCCCCTTCTTGATGGTCAGTTTTGCTAGCTCTTCCTTCTAGCTGGATGTTAATTACAGAGTCACGTGGACGGCTTTTTCCCAAATCAACTTCTGGAAAATATTGTTTTTCCTTTGTAACAGGTGGATGCTCCTCATGTATGTGGCTCAGAGCAGTTGTCTTTGATAATTGCATCAAAGTTGGAAGAAACATAGCCATGAGAGAACTGCCAGATGAGTTTTCTGCATTACTCTCTTGTCTTTCAGAATCAGCTAGAGCAACAGGATCAGCAAACACGTAAATCTCATCAATACAAATACAGCCTTTATTCTGGAGTGAAAGCAAACGAAGTGTGACAGACATGCAAGGATTTACATCAGAAAACTCTGCAGTAGCCTCAAAGAGATCCTGAAATTTTCCATCAATCAGCTTGTTCACTATTATAAAAGAAGAAAAATTACTCAAGAAAAATAGAGGAAAACCACAACTAAGGGAAAGTTATCTTCCAATAGAAAGAAATAAAAGGAAAGGAACGTGGTGAAAAAGAAAAAGCCAAAAAAGCACAATATGCCAAAGTATCTTGGTTATGGCTGCTTTTGTGATCATTTTATAAATAAAAGAATTAATTAGTTGAAGAGATTCTGGTCCAAAAAAAAATTATTAGAAGAGATAAGTCCACATGGAATTCAAAGCATCCTCCAAAGACAAATAAGGTTTCATCATACTTCAAGGCTCTTCTTTCTCAATAAAATTTGCCATGCATGTACATATTTTGTATTTTCATTTTAGATTGACCACGAGTGAAAGAAAATACATCAATTCATCATAAGCCAATTTAAGAAACAAAGAGAAAAGAAAAGAAAAGGAGAGAACACAAAGGAAATCCCATTCTTTTTGGATCAATAAAACATCATTAGGTCAGAAAGAAGTAGGATGGTTGAAGAAAATATAACAAAACACAACTTTCAATCTTCCTTTAATTTTCATCTGCTCCTCAGTCTTCTCAATTCTCCTCATTTCGCATCTGTGCAAACAGCAAAAGGGCCAAAAATTGAATCATTTCTTTCACTCAAATCAACTACACACTATTCCTTAGCCCAAACTGAAGGTCAAGATGCCAAGTACATCAGGGAGTCTATAAACAAGCCATCTATGCCTAAAAAAGAAGACCCATAAATCAGGAAAAGAATGAACCATTGCTGGATTGATCATATGCATTATTCACCCTTCATTCTTTTGGTTTCTTTTTAGCCCCCAAACGTACAAGGTAGACAGCAAATATGACAGGGGGTTGCACTCCAAGAAAGAGAGCAAGAATGCTAAGGAATAAAAATGAGTAATGAAATCAAGCGACCTGACATAATAAGTATTAAGTGGAAAGAGTGGATCAGCATACCTGACTGCTTTTTGCTGAGTTAATGCATGATTTTGTATGCAAACCATGGTTTCCCCCATCCAACAGAGAAGAATCAGGAATTTTTACATCAACCCAGTCATCTTCACTTCTATTATTTTCTTCAGACAACTCTTTGTTAAAGCCCTTAACATGTGAAGAAACAACTTCTTCGACATTTAGTGCATGAAGAACTTCTCCATCTCTAGTAGCAATGCCACAGCGAACAGTGCAGAGATATTCATTACTACTCTGCACATCAGGTTCACAGTAAATTTCATACACTCGGGCTGTACTTCGAACATAAACTTGTAAGACCTCATGCTTTTGTGCAAAACTAACTGCAGAACAAGCAATTTTCCCTTAAGTGTCCAAAAGAAACATGTTTCCTTAAAGAAACAAGCCATTAATATTCAACACTACATATGGAAGCAAAAGTTTCAGCTCAGTGGACTCAGCTAGATAATGGAAAACATACTTGATACACTTAATCACGACAGTGATACACAACATTTCTAAAATGATTGAAGAATCTATGTCAGGAGGAAGAATGAGGAAGGATAGAAAATGAGAGAGAACTTCAACTCACAAAGCACCAATTTTAGAAGAGGTTAGAGCTACACAAGAATTTTGCCAGGTATAAACCCAACCCATTTAATGAAGTGCTAATCTAATGAGTAATTTTGACTATTGATTACACGCATTAAAAAAAAAATAGAAACTTCAAAAAGGCACTTGCTCCATAAGAAGCAGCATGGCTGAGTCGGGGGACTTGCACGGTCACTTGAAGAACGAACTACAGAAAAAGTATCTAATTCTAGCCTCCAAAAGACAACCATAAGAAAAACGCACTGTAAATGGATATTCACCCAACAGCAGTTTCAAAGGAAGAAAGGTGATAGAAACCAGCTAAATGACCCCATGTACAAACACATCAAACGTAGAATTCAAATGGAACTTCACAAACTCGTTTTCGCAGAGAATACTCAAATTTCAGCAACAGGCTAACGCGCGCGCGCGCACAGGTACCCTATATACATATACAAACGAAATTTAGCATCATCTATTCATGAATTGTCCCAAGTTCTTTATCCGACCTCATGAAATTGAATATGGGATAAATTTCTCAATATTGTAAAATATAAAGCTTGAATTGAAACAAAAAGGTGAATCAAACTCGGGACTTACTCATGATCTCGCAAGGGCCAGAATCAGCTGAAGAAGGACAGAGGATAAGAGAGGATTTGAGTGTTGAATCCACAGTGGTCGCTCCTACTTCATCGCCACCTTCATTGGCCAAAGACAGTGAGGATTCGAAGGTGATGCAATCTTGAAGAGAACCAGAAGCAATGGTCCAGTTCGTCTGCGAATTCCAATTGGACATGCTGATTTTGGCCTCCGTCTCCATCACCATCGCAGTTTCTTTGGATCTTTGAGGCCTAAGGAGATGAGAAATGAAATAATAGAGAAGATATATAGGATTTGATGAACTGAGACACCACGCAACGTTTTGACCCAAAAAAGGTCGAGAGAGAAACTACGCAACGTAATTATTTTATTTACCCTGTTCTTTTCCCTCCACATGCGTTCGTGATGTTAACGAGCAGTTGAATGATAAGCCCCACACACACATAATAAATAAATAGTATAATTTGTTCAAATTTTTATGCTACATAAATAAAAGAGATAATATAATTTTAAATCTCTATATCTTACTTGTATTTTATTATAGATTCATATATTTTTTTTGATATTTTAAATCATTATATTTTTGTTTTTTGATTATTTGGGCCACTTTAAGATCCTTACACTTTATTTATTTAGGGATCTAAAACATCAAAATATAAAAATATAGGAACTTAAAATACTAAAAAAATACAAAAACTTATAACAAAACACAAACAAAATGTAAAGACTCAAAGTTATTTTTTTAAAATATAAATATATGAGTAAGCTATCAGGTTTTAGCATGAGTTGTGAATAAAAATTTTGTATAAATTTCAAATCAGACTCAAACCTCTAACTTACTATATAAGTTTAAGCTTATTAAATCAAAATCTAGCTTAGTCTAACATACTATCACTAGGGGTGTTCAGCCTAGACCCGTCCCGATTGGCCCGGTATCGTCCCGATCATATCGGGACGGGTCTTGTCCCGGCCCGAAAATAATCGGGACGGGACTTTATAGGACGGGACAGAAAAGGGGTTCGGGACGGGACGGGACACGGGATTACCATCGGGACGTCCCGTCCCGTCCCGAATATTATATATATTATTTTTTATTTTAAATATATTAATTATATTAATATAATTTGTAACACACCAAAATTTTTTTTTTTAAATAATTTAACTTAACCATAGTTGGGTTACAGCCACCCAACACATTTTTATATCAATAATTTCGATATAAAATATTTTATAATTGGCTTCAACTCACTATAACATTTCAGATAAATTTTTACCTCCCATATGTCATTAGGCTAAATCACATTTGTCCATCCTTATACTCCCAACAAGTAAACTAAATCACATTTGTCCATCCTTATACTCCCAACAAGTAAAATAAGCAATTTAGTCAATTTTCAACACAAGCCAGTTATTTGGCCTTATAATCATGCCATTTTAACCAATTCAAAGTAAACCAAATATTAAAATTACAGTCATCCAAATTGTACCAAAAATAGAAATAGTTTGAAAGGCATGATTACATTTATATATTCATATAATTGACAATAAACATAAAAAAGTCCTAATATTGGCAATATAACACATTATAAATCATAAATTAAATACCCAAAATAGACAGTGGATCTATACCACTAAGCCTCTGGGACTCCTCCACGTGTCACTCGTGGCTCTTCTCCTGAAAATTGTTAACCACATAATGAGACTCAAAAGTCCCAGTAACCAAAGCCAATTTATGATAGTGTATACAAACAGTTAAGTGTGTACTTACTAAGTGAGAATTAAAAATAATATAATTCCAACAAATATAAGAAATATTACAATACACACAAACAACCATCCTTATATCCCTCCATTAACCTCGAGCCGTAGCCCTCACTCGGTGCTAAATTACCCGGCCAAAGGTAGATTAGCCCGAGCCCTTACAAGCCACCTATTGAGCTCCAATAGGGGCGTACCACGTGGCACATAAATACAACAATAATAGCAAGTCTCCCAACACCTCCCACAATAATTAAACAAATTCATAATAATATTGCACAATTATACAATATTACAAAATTCATAATTTTTTCAATAATCACCCAATTAACATGAAGTAACACTAATCACAAATTAAAAGCATGGTTACCTTGTGGCTTTTTCAATAAATTATTCCTTAAAATTTCTCTCTCACCACAATCTTCACCAGTAATACAATCTACAAATAACATATTATTTATAAATATTAGTTTCAATTTTTGAAACTAATAAAATAATTCTAATAATAGAATTAAAAATATAACATAATTCCTAATCTCAATCTTAATACAAATCTAGAGTCAATACTATTAAGTAAAATTTTTAACTCCTCTTTTAATTATCAATAAACATTAATAATCTAAAAATCAACTTCTAAACTAATTTTTATTATCAAAATTTTCTTTTTATTTCATAAATTCGTACCTAAAATACCCAAAAATTAAAAATTAAGTCTCTAGCTTAGAATCATAATCCTATAGCAATAATAATTCATTTCTCATCCCAAATAATCATCTAAACCTCAATAAATCAACATATATTTTCAGATCTAGTTTAGAATTTGATCCATAAGCCACAGATTCAAAGATCATCAATAAATTTATACTCTAGAACATTTATTATACTACTGACAACCTCAAAAATCATATTTATTCAACATAAATTCATCCTTCTTCCAGATCTTAAATTTTATACCACTACAAACTCAGAAATCAAAGAAAAAGGATGACTAAGAAAAAATTTTAGAACACTTACTTAGTCTTGAAAAGCTTAAAATTACACCCTAAATATCCTATTAAAAACTCTTACCTTAAAAATTTAGATATTTCGCACCGGTGACTCGCGTTCTCTCCGCCTCAGCTCGCGCGCAGGAATGAATGAGGAAATGAAGGAATGTGAGTTTTTATAAAAATTCAGTGGGTCCCACACATTTTTTTTATTCTTTTCTCTCTCTTCTTTCTTTCTTCTTTTTTTTTTATTATTATATTTTACTGTTGAGGCGGCGGCTGCGTTCACGTTTTCTTCCTTTCTTTCTTGTTTTTACACCTTTTTTTTATTATTATAATAATAATTTAATAATATTATTTTTTTTAATTATTTTTTTTAAAATTATTTTTTTTAAATTTCTATTAACCCAAATTAACTATTAAAATTTATATTGGGATGTTACATAATTTATACTTATATTAATTATATCAATTATAATTTTAATACTTGCAATTCTTATTTAAAACTAAAGTTTTTTATATTGATAATTTTAATGGTATGGAGTAAATATGGCGATATCTTTCTTTATAAGATATTAATTATATTAATATAATTTATTCTTATATCTATCTATTTAATAACTTTTATTTATAATATATTTCTTGCTTATTTTTAGAAGAGTAATTAGCTTAGTACACCTTCACTAAAATAGAAGAATAATGATTTGATGTTGTGTTTGACTTGCCTGTTGCTAATCTTATAGCATAAAAATCACTTGTATTTGTTATTATAATATGTAGTTACGATTAATATAATTCAATAATTGATTTTAAATTATTGTTATTTATGTGCTTGTGTTGTTTTGATTTTAAACTTAATAAATTATATGATTTAAAATTTTAATGAACGTTATTATTCAGATTTTTTTCGATGTTATTCCATTTATCGAGACGGCGGGACGTCCCGATCTTGTCCCGGTCCCGTCCCGACTTTTAACGGGACGGGACAGGACACGGGACCAAAATTTAGTCCCGATCTTTTTTTCGGGACGGGACACGGGACAGGGGTGTCCCGGTTCCGTCCCGTCCCGTGAACACCCCTAACTATCACCCTTAATGTATAAAGGTAAACTGTAAATATTTTATAATAAACTATAAACATTTGATAACTAAATTTTTTGTACAAAAGATTCAATCCTCAATTACACAAGCATTCTTTATCATTCATGTTAAAATTTGCCCATTCAAATTTTTTTTTTAAAATTGTGCTCAAGATTAGTACATTATTTAAAAAAGGGAAAATAGACAATTAAGGCCTTTCAAGAAAACATATATTGTTCAAAGTGAACCTCAACTTGTTAATCATTTAACTTTTAACATCAAATGTGTGTTTTCAAAAGACAATATCCACCTCGATGGGCCTTTTTTGTTAAAGACTTAATTTTTAACAATAATATATATATATTTACAAAATAATATCTGATGTAAGATTAATGAGTTCTTATTGTAATAAATTCCTTTGAGATAATCTTAAATGAACATTCTCCTTTATTTCCAAAGCAGTTGTCATTCTTTTTTTTTTTCCCTCTTTTACATGTTATTGACAATTTCAATCTTTATCATTATTCACATTTCATCTGAATTTTCATTTTTGTCATCAGAGTACAACATATGACTTTTTAACATGTCATTACATGAGATTTAGGGTATGTTTGATTTCTATTTTTAAAAACGATTTTTTATTTTTAAAAACAAAAAATTCATTTTGGAAAGTATCTTGAATTTAAATATTTTAAACATTATTGAAAAATAAAGATATTGTAGATTTTTTTTAAACCCTATTTGACTATTATAAATTACTTTTAGCTATAACTAATCATTATCATAAATTATCACCATTAACTATTGGCAACCACAACTATCAAGTATGTTTTTTAACTCAAATTATTTTTAAATTAACATAATTAAATAAATTTTTATTTTATTTTATTTTGAAAAATAATCTTTAAAAATTGATCAGCAAAAGTTTTTTAAAAACAAAATAAAACAAAAACAAACAATACCTTAATTTATTCATTTTTGTTGTAAAGTTGGCCCCAACAAAAGGTAAAAATAGCATTCAATCAGGCTCCCGCATCCCGCCATTGTGTCGGTGTGGGTACGTGTGTCAGAGGGCATCATAAATCACAGTGAAAATTTTTTTCAAGATTCAACAATAATATCTATATTTCTTCCGTTTAAAATATAAAATATTTTTTAAAAAATTAAATATTTAAAAATATAAGATATTTTTAATTTTATAAAATGTAATCATTATTTTTTTTAAATCACTTTATATTTATTTTAAAAAGAAACACCCAATTAAATAAGGGTAAGTATAAAAAAATAGAGTTAATTTGAAGACAAAAAATTACTTTATTGATGTTAAAATTTAATTAAAAATACCTTATATTTTTAGATGGAACAAGTATCTTTTTTCAACCCAATGAAGATAAAGGACAAGTAGGCTGCTGCCACTTGAGCCACCCAAAATCACAGTTTGTATTAGGTAGAAAAT